AACGTGGTGGACTCTCCATCTGTTCTCCAGTATGTAGAGAATTGTTTCCAGGCTGAGAGAAAATAGAAGAGGTGCTGCACTGAGCAGACAGACCTGGAGTGGAACCGTGTGCAAGTGAGGTGCTGCTGCCTTCTCACTCAGAGAGGGGTCGGTCTCGCAGCGAGGAGAAGATGAAGGGCCTGGGGGTCGCTCCGTGCCACATGAAAGGAATGGTCCGTGTTCCAGCTGAAACGGGAGAAGAGAAGTCTTCAGAGAGGGCAGGGGGCATGAAAGATGGATGCGATTTGTTGTGGGGGAAGGTAGAGGGAAGCTGACTTGGCTTCATACAAGAGGCATTCCTAACATTCAGAGCTGGATGGCCTAGGAGGGGTGAGCTCTCTGTCCCTGGAAGTATTCATGCAAAAGAGGGAGTTGGTTTTTTTTTTTTCAGGGATCTTGATTTGACATTGATTGTATCTTGTCCATTCTACCATCATAGATGGTTCTGTGACTGTCCTGTCCCCCGTCCTGCTGCCAAAATCACTGCTCTAAAGCACAGGACCAACTGTAAGACGTCCCCACGGACTCCTTACTGTCCAGGGTAAAACACAGATGCCTAGGTCTTGTACTTCACCATCCCTTGTCTTCCTTCCTCCCTCCCTCGCTTCCTCCCTCCCTCACTTCCTTCCTTCCTTCCTCCCTCCCTTCCCTCCCTTCCTTCCTTCCTTCTTTCCTTACTTCCTTCCTCCCTCCCTCCCTCCCTCCCTTCTTCTCTCCTCCCTCCCTCCCTCCCTCCCTCCCTTCCTTCCTTCCTTCCTTCCCTCACTCCTTCCTTCCTTCCTCTCCCCTTCCCCCCTCCCTCCCTCCCTTCCTCCCTTCTTTCCTTCCTTCTTTCCTTCCTCCCTTCCTCCCTCCTTCTCTCCCTCCCTTCCTTCCTTCCTTCTCTCCCTCCCTCCCTTCCTTCCTTCCTTCTTCTCTCCCTCCCTCCCTCCCTCTTCCTTCCTTCCCTTCCTTCCTTCCTTCCTTCCTTCCTTCCTTCCTTCCTTCCCTCCCTCCTCCCTCCCTTCCTCCCTTCCTTCCTTCCTTCCTTCCTTCCTTCCTTCCTTCCTTCTTCCTTCCTTCCCTTTCCTTCCTTCCTTCCTTCCTTCCTTTCCTTCCTCCCTCCTCCCTTCCCCCTTCCCCCTTCCCCCCTTCCCCCCTTCCCCCTTCCCCCCTCCCCTCCTTCCCCCCTTCCCCCCTTCCTCCCTCCCTCCCTTCCTCCCTTCCTTCCTTCCCTCCCTTCTTCCTTCCCTCCCTTCCTCCCTCCCTCCCTTTCTTCCCCCCTTCCTCGCTTCTTCCCCATGGGGAATCATACTCTTTGACAGGTGCTCTGTCAAAGGAATATAAGTTAAACCTTGCAAGATATCTTGTGGTTTGGGGTCTAGATTTTTTTTCTTCTCTACTTAGGTATTTCTATCATTGTTATCCCCCTCCCCCACAAACAAAACAAAACAAAAACAACACCTGAGGCAATTATCTCTTTTATCCCCTGTAGTTTCATTTAAGATTTCTTGAAATTGAGCTCTGGAAAACCAGGTTTTGATCAAAGCCCATTGAGATTCAAATGGAGCTGCTTGACTGTGCCTTTACATTTACATCTGTCTGGCTCTCACAGGCTGGCCATTAATAGGTCTCAGCCCAAGCTTCACTTGGTCATTGTTTGGACCCTGATGTCTCAGAGTGAGTGTAAATAGTTATTGTTGGTGTTCTGGTCAGAAGCCCTGAGGGTCTTCCTCTCCCAGATTGAGTTTTTTGAGCAGACAAATTAAGGCATCTTTTCCTCAGTTCTTACCTAACCTTAAATCACTGAATGGGTGTTGCCTCAGATAAACTGAGACCTTGGCTTAAAAAGGCCAAGGTCTCCCACTTCATCTAGAGTCATAACCAGTCCTGACCACTGGACCCAGCTGACTCTGGGGGAGAGAGTGAGGCTGGTGACTTTGCACAGCCCTGCCTCACTTGAATCCAGTTCACTTGCAAGTCAAGACCTGGCCCTCCTTATGTCATTGGTCCTCTTCTAGAATGAAGGACGAACAACAAAGAATAATTTCTCCATCAGATCCCCCCACTACCCCCCACCCAGGGACCGATGGGGTTTGTTTGTCATGATTCCCTAGTGCCTTGTATTTAGTAGGTGCTTAATAGCTGTCTGTTGAATTGACTGCTTTATTTGTTTTTATGAAGTGCTCAGCACAATGCCTGTTCCGTAGTAGATGTGAGACATACGTACATATATTAATTTCTCCCCATCCTTCTGCCCCCACCTACTTTAAAATCCTCTACTGTGGGTGGCTCCCAGCCCCTGGATTGGGAGCTTCCTGAGGGCAGGCACTGGGGTGTGCCGATTGTCCTACGGGTGTCCAGCACGGTATGGTTTTGAGAATAGGTACTTGAGAGGGTCTCAGGGGCTGAATAGATGAATGAATGAACCAGAAAAGAGCCCGCAGTGCAGTGGGCAGGTGATTCTCATGTACCCTGTCGTGGGGCCATAACAGAGGGGTGGCCACAGATGCTAGGGGATGTTCCTGCCTCTCTGCATTCCAGAATCGAGCTGCCAGAGGGATGACTGTGCCGCCGGTGACAAAGCATCTGGCTTTCTCTTCCATTGAGTGTGAAAATGTGATTTTGGTTTTGCGGTTTTTATTTTAAAAGGTTAATTTTTAAGGGGAGAGGGAAGCCTTGCTGTCATTTCTGCCCGCCTACAACCTACTTCCTTTAATGATCATCCTCTCTGCCGCATTTCCTGGAGTTTCTGCAGGTGTGCATTTTTCTCCTGTTTTAGCTACTTTTGCTGTAAGTGGAAATCGACTGGTTGTGGCTCCCTGGGGACCCCTGCTACCTGAGGGGTCATCAGTAATGTGTGATAGATGGCTCTTTGGTGGCGCTCACTGGAAAGTCAGCAGTGCAGATCAATACACGAGGCCCAGGGTCAGAAGGGAAAGTTTTTCTTTAAAGTACACTGTGATTTCAAAACAAAGGCTTAATTTTTACAAAAAGGCAGTGGGATTTTTTTCCTATTACTTTTCCGTACTCTGTCATTGTTAATGCATCTGGGTTGAATCTCTGGGCTTGGGTTTTTGTTGTTTTCAGTGGAGCGGATGAGATCATGAAATCAGAGCTGGGAGGATTTCAGGTCATTCAGTGCCTTTATCATAGATGGCTTCTAGGAGGTGCTGCCTGCCACCTCTGCTCTGAGTGGTGGTCTCTGGGATGCGGACCGTGCCTCCTTGGAGATCAGGGACGATGCAGGATTCTCTCTGGCCTTGGCCCCGGCAGTGATCCTCCAGAGGCAGAGCTTGATGATGATGGGAAGCCTTTCTTTGCAGACTCTTCGGGCTCATCATTGCCCCCCTGCCAGTGTTCGCATTCCACTAACGAAATCTACTCGCGGCTTGTCCACAGGCCATTAGTTCCTGAATTATGGCTTGCATATTTGCTTACTTCAACATCACTGTTGCTCAAAGATTCATTACTTAGCAAGGCAGCTTCTCTGAGGAGGAGGAAACTGTTGCTTGTCATCATTTGTTTTCTGCATTTCTTTTCCACTGGGAGACATTTTTCAGTTCCAAGAACTGGCTGGTGGTGTGGATGATGGGAACCTTGGGAAAAAAGGACTGTGTTGTCTTGGAACTTGTGATAGTAGAAGAAGGGAGCACAGACAGTACCGAGGCAGAGCAGAGAAGTAGAGGTGGACAGGGCCTCAGAGGCCCCGTAGTCCAGCCTGTCCGTACTGCAGCAGCTCCAGTGGTCAGCCCGATGGGGAGCCCCTTCCCAAGGCAGCCCTCTCCACTCTTGGGCGGTTCTGATTCCTGGGACGGCCATTTTCCTTACAGTGTTCCTGACAGAAGAAACAAATGTGCCTCTGTGCAGACTTGTTCCTAGTTTTGCCATCTTTAGCCAAGCAAAACATGCCTAATCTCTCACCATGGGGCTGCCTTTCAAATAACTGAAGACTTCTGCCCTCCTGAGTTTTCTCTTCTGCAGGCTGAACGTCTCCACTTGGATCAGACGAGTGATTCTTATAGGGTGTGGTCCCCAGTGCCCTTAACATTCTGTTTTCCCTCCTGGGTACAGTCACTCGGTTAAGAATCCTTCTAAAGTGTGGCACCTGGAGATGAACAAATACCATGCTGTTAAAAGTGCTGGTAAAAGGGTCCGAGAAGGAAGGCCCGTCCCCTCCCTCATTTGTGATGTCACATCTCCATTTCTGTGAGTATGGAGTTACCTGCTGGGCTCCCATGTCACCACTTTGGCTCACCAGCCCTCTTTGCATTGGCTGGATATGATGTGGGCTGCAGGGGGCCCTGGCTGATATGCAGAGACAGAGTGGACCCTGTCCCCACCCTCTGAAGAGCTGAGGAGAGGCTGTGGGCCAGAGGCTCCCAGGGAGGCTCTTCCCTTTCTGCTGGTGCTCTGCTGGCTCTTGGCTCCTAAGAGGGTCCTGCCCCAGGCTGGGCGCCCTCTGGCTCCCTCCTCTGTTGTCTTTCCCCTTTAGACTGTAAGCTCCTGGAGGGCTAGGACTGCCTTTCTTTTTCTTATTTGCATTTTCAGTGCTGAGCACAGTGCCTGATGCACAGTATTTGCTTCATAAGTGTTGACTATTGACTGTCATCTAATGGAAGGTGTTTTATTTCATCCTAATGTATGCTACTAAAGGTAAAACCCTGTACTGAGCCCTGAGAGGGGACTTAAAGACAAATGAGATGGGCCCTGCTGGTCTATACATGAGCACAAATGAGTGCAGAATAGATTTGGCTGGGAGGTTTGCTAAAGAAGAATGGGTTGTCCCCAGGAGGACGAGCTGATGGTGTGGAGGGAACAAGTCATACCAACCAGGGGTGTGAGATGCGAGTCAGAATCTTGGCTTCCTGATCAAGTCACTTAGGCCAGCCTCAGCTTGCGTATCTGCTGAACGGGGATGGAAGGCTGTGTGACCTTGGTGTGGTTACATCTTGATGATTTTTTCTGGGCTCTTATTTTAGGATAACTACACTTTTGCCCAGCCTGGCATCCAGATGAAAGTGCGTCTGTTGGAGGAGCTCGTCGGCCGGATCGATGGTAAGTACGTTCACCCGCTGTGCACTGCCTGCCCTTCTCCAGCCCTGTACCCCTCCCTGCGCCCGCGTCAGCTCTGTTAGCCCCAGTGACGGCATGACATGCGGCACCTCCTCCGGCATTGGGGTGGCATCGAGGGCAGAACTGCCCAAGCGTGGGCCGCCCTCGCTCCTTTGTGTTAAGCTCCATGATCAGAATTCGGGGTGTCTTAGGGCATGAGGGGGTGGGGCTCAGCCGGGTGAGAGTTGTCCTTCATGAGGCGCAGCGGGCATGCGGGCTGTCCTTTGGCCCTGTTGGGTGCCTTGCTGCGTCTTTTGCCATCAAGAATGTCAGAATAATTTCTCTGTGGAATCCAGTCAGTTACCAAGTCTGGAAATAACATCTTTAATATCGTAGATAAATTACAATGTGTGGCTGGGTGATTTCAGATGATACTTTGAAGGTTTAAGGAGGGTGCTTTGAAATGCTCTCCACCTTCATCCTTAAAATCACACCCCCATGAAGTGCTGACTGTTGTATTGCAAAAGCAGAGTTTCATTAAATGAAATGGGAGAGATAATGCTTGACCACTCTAAGTATCTTCTCTGGGTACTTTGTGGAATTAGTGAACAGAGCATTAGCAAAGTGCTTCAGAGCACAACTAAGCCCCTTTTGGGGACACCAGCCAGGCAGCAGTGAGATCTGGGGGGGAGAGGGCAGAAAAAATGCTGTTTCTTCCGTGCTTCCCGTGTTCATTCAAGGTGGATGATTTCATTGTCCAGACTGGGAGCTGTCCATTGAAACATGGAGATGTCTGTTGGACTCCACTCGTTGGAGAGGTACAGGCCCTAGCCTCTGGGGGGTAAGGAAAGGAAGGTTTCAGATACACACACACACATGCACTCATGCACATTTTGATGTAGGTAAACCTATGTATGCATACATACCTGTATGCCTTTGATAATGGGAGAAAACCATGGAATTATTCTTTGATGTTCGTAATCACAGCTGTCTTTCCTGAAGTGCTTTGATTTGGGTCTTCCAACACTTTTGTGATGGAGCTGACCAGGGCCTAGGTCCCTCATTTGACACATGGGGAAACTGGGGCCCCAGCTGGGTCAGGGACTTCCTGGGGGCCCCATGGGCAGGAAGCCTGTCAGTCGGTCAACAAGCATTGAACATGAGCTCACTGTGTGCCAGGCCCTGGGCTCAGTGAATGATGGTGTCAGAGTGAGGATTTGAATGCAGATTCTCTGACTCCAAGGCCAGCCTCCTTTGCCCTGCAGCCCCGCTGCCTTTGATGTGAAGCTGCCGGAGGACTTTCTGGCCAGGTGTCCCTCAAGGCCATGCCCAGGATCACCTCAGTTGGGGCTGGAGGAGCTGGTGACCTTCAGTACCGGGGCCTCCGAGCTCTCTCCAGGCTCCTCCTGCCGGGCTGGGTACGACTTCTTCCAGCTCATATCTAGGTTAGTGGGATTGTGAATGTGAGCGGCACAGCTGGTGAAAATTCTCTTTTCACACTTTTCACTCATTTCAAAGAGAGTTTTGCTTTTATGAATCCATACTTTACCCCCAACAACAGTTTCCGTAGAATTCTTGAGTTCTGTGAAGTTAATTGGGCATTGACTTTCTGAGCCTACGTACTTCATGTAGCACATTTTGTGGGTGTCAGAGGGAAGAACCTGGGCCCTGAGTGGCCAGCTCTAGTCTGTGGCCTGGGCTCGTCAGGGGAGTTCTGGGGCTCTGCCCCCAGCTCCACCACTGTCTACATATGTCCCTGCCAAGTGTCTTCTCCTTCCTCTGTCAAATAGGCCCCTTCTGGCCCTGATGTTGGAGGATTCTGGGCCCCTGGGCCCATTAGAAATGTGGGCGGCCAGAGAGATCTCCTTGGGTCCAGAGCTGGACGAGATTGGTGAGAATCTCAAGGGCCTCTGTCCTGCTTCCCCCATCTCACCCCCATGCTGATTTTGTATCTGCTTCTGGTGCTGTCTTTGAGAAAAGGCATTGGCGACAAATACTATGGAAGGTGATTAGGCTGGTAAGCATTGTGAAACCATGTCATGGAAATGTCTCGTCTTGATAAGCAAGGCTTGGACTGGAGTATCATTACCATCATCAAACTAGCTGAAAGGTTGCCATGGGGAAAAGAGGTTGGGCTTTTCTCTGGGTCAGCAGAAAGTCAGATTTGGCTCCCCATCAGGGCACTCTTTAACAAGGAAAGATTCTGGCAGATGGGTGGTTTCCCTCAGGGATAGTGAGCACCTTGTCCCTGATGGTTCTGGAGCAGAGGCTTGGTGATAACTCACTGGAGATTCTCAAAATGTCATTTATTTATTCGTTTTTAGTTTTCAACATTCACTTCTATAAGATTTTGAATTCTAAATTTTTTCCCCTCCCTCTGGTTCTCCCTCCCCAAGACAGCATATAATCTGATATAGGCTATACATGTATAATTATGTTAAACATATTTCCACATCAGCCATGTTGTAAAAGAAGAATCAGAACAAAAGGGAAGAACCATGAGGAAGAAGAAACAAAAAAAAAGAGGGAAAACAGTATGCTTCTATCTGCATTCAGACTCCATAGTTCTATCTCTGGATGTGGATAGCATTTTCCATCATGAGTCTTTTGGAGATGTCTTAGATCCTTGCATTGCTGAGAAGGGCTAAGTCTATTAACATTAGTCATCGTACAACGTGGCTGTTACTGTGTACAATGTTCTCCTGGTTCTGCTCATTTCACTCGGCATCAGTTCATGTAAGTCCAGGTTTTTCTGAAGTCAGCCTGTTCATCGTTTCTTATAGCACAATAGTATTCCATTACATTCATATACCACAACTTGTTCAACCATACCCCAGTGGATGGGCATCCCCTCAATTTCCAATTCTTGGCCACCACAAAAAGAGCTGCTATAAATATTTTTGTACATGTGGGTCCTTTTCCCATTTTTATGATGTCTTTGGGATACAGACCTGGCAGTGCTATTGCTGGATCAAAGGGCATGCAGTTTTATAGCCCTTTGTGCATAATTCCAAATTGCTCTCCAGAATGGTTGGATCGGTTCACAACTCCACCAGTAATGCATTAGTGTTCCAGTTTTCCCACATCTTCTCCAACATTTATAGTTTTCCTGTTTTGTCATGTCAGCCAATCTGATAGGTGTGATGTGGTACCTCAGAGTCAGTTTGATTTGCATTTCTCTAGTCAGTAGTGATTTAGAGAATTTTTTCATATGCCTATAGATAGCTTTAATTTCTTCCTCTGAAAACTGCCTGTTTGTATCCTTTGACCATATATCAATTAGGTAATGACTTGTATTCTTATAAATTTGACTCAGTTCTCTATATATTTTAGAAATGAGGCCTTTATCAGAGACGCTGGTTGTAAAAATTGTTTCCCAACTTTCTGCTTCCCTTCTAATCTTGGTTGCATTGGCTTTGTCTGTGCAAAATCTTTTTAATTTAATGTAATTAAAGTCATCCATTTTGCTTTCGTAGTGTTCTCTGTAGATCTGACAGGTGAATTGTTCCTTGCTCTCCCAGTTTGCTTCTGGAATCGCCCTTCAGATCTGAGTCATGGACTGTTCTGACCTTCTCAGCCTGCGGTGTGAGGCGGCGGCCTGTGCCCGGGCTCGGCCCACGGTGTAAGATGGCGGCCTGTGAGACAGCGGCCTGCAGTGTAAGACAGGGGCCTGCGCCTGGGCTCAGCCCGTGGCGTGAGGCGGCGGCCTGCGCCCGGGCTCGGCCTGTGGTGTAAGATGGCGGCCTGTGAGACAGCGGCCTGCGGTGTAAGACAGGGGCCTGCGCCTGGGTTCGGCCCACGGTGGCGGCGTGAGGCGGCGGTCTGCGCCCGGGCTTGGCTGTGGTGTTCCTCAGGGGAGATCTCTTAAAGGCGGTTGATGTGTCTGTTGTTCAGTTGTGCCCGACTCCCTGTGACCCCATCCAGCAAAGGCACGAGGACTTTGCCTTGTTCTGTGGCTCCTTTTGCAGATGAGGAAACTGAGGCAAACAGGGCTAAGTGACTTGCCCAGGGTCACACATCTAGGAGGTGTCTGAGGCTGGATTTGAACTCTGGAAGCTCTGCGCCACCCATCTGCCCCTAAAGGTCGTTCGTGCCTTCTGTCAAGCTTGGACAAAGCATTCCTTTCGGTTCTAAGGGTCTAGAGTCATTGGACTCTCCGAGACTGGGATGGAACAAGCAGCTCTGGATGTACAGGTGGAGAGGCCTGGGTTCCGATCCTGGCCTTAGGTAAGCTGCTGGCGCTGTTCAGACCTCCATCACCCCTTAGGGAAGGAGGAGGCTAGACTAAGGTGTCTGTGTGTCTCCTTCTCCACGAAGCATTGTCATCACCCACTCACCTATATCGTGTACGAGCCGGACGCCCAGGCCGGCAAGCAGGAAGAGGCTAGTCCCAGGCTCCCTGAATGGGGGAGGGCACAGACCCACAGGGAGGGCCTCCCCTTTGTGCTCACCTTTCTGCCTTGGGACATTGACCCTCCTGTACTCTATAGGCTGTAAGGATGTTGCTCTTGAGCGTCTTTAAAATGGGCCTAAAAGCCAGCAGCTGAACGTATCCCGTCTGTGCTTTGGGGGGGGGGTGTGTGGAAACGGGTGACCCAGCCCAGCCACTGTGCAGAGAGGCAGGGAGAGGAGAGGTCTCGGGGCCCACAGAGCCCCTCTCTGCATTAGAAGCGTGGGGTGGAAGCCCAGTCAGAGAGGGTGGGCTTTGGTCACCCACCGTGGGAGGTGAGAGTCTGCACATGTCCTCCAGAGTCCTTCAGAAATGAAGAAATTGTGTGTCCCCCAGAGGAAGGTGATCTGGTGTGGGGAGACGTAAGTAGAAGTGCGACACTTGGAGAAAAGGCTTTGAATGGGAGCATTCCGAGCTGAGAAACGGTCACAGACAGGCAGTTTTTGGAGGAAGAAATCCAGGCCTTATGACAAGATGCTCCAACTCTCATCCTGATAATTAGAGGCATGCAGAGTAAAGGCACCTTGAGTTTGCTTACACCCATTTGATGGGC